GGAAGAGCTCAGGGAGCAGGTTAAGCATGGGGTTCATGGTAAGGGGGCAGGGCTCATTCTCCCTAGACAGTCTGAGCCATTTTAGCAGGATTTCCACATAAGCTGGGGCTGGGATAGCGCAGCAACCAGCAGGTGACTCATCTGCCGATTTGTTAGTTTGCAACTAAATCTATGGAAAATAAGCACCGAGGAAATTTAGAACTACAAGTTTTGTTTCCCAAATGTCAACTTTCTTCCACATATAGCTGCTGATGCTGGATTTATAAACACCGTATGTGTTGTAGAAAATAGAGCTGAGGAACCTGCATGACCCAAGTCCAGAGAGCGAACACACAAACAGCAGGACAAGTGCAGGTGACAGAAAGGACAGGCATTAGCAAACCGTAAGGCTATCAGGTGGCCCCAGACTCCTGTCACAAGAAGTGAAGCAGGAAAACAGCACCGCATCAAGCAGCTGGCAGAAAGATCACTGTCCCTTGGAAGCAGGGAGGCACCGTGGCCAGCCCCGAGCCCCTGGGCCATGGTCAGGTGCCAACACAGCATCAGCTGCACTGCAACTGCTGGAGCACTGAGCTGGCCACAAAGGTGAGCCAAAGCTTCAGGCATCCCTAGGGCAGAGTCACACTGTGCATCCTTCCCAGCGAACAACAAAAACCCCAGGTGGCCTCCTCTCCTTCTCCACCTCCTCCTCACTTGCACCCCAGCACACAGTGGAAACGCAGCCCCTTCGCCCCAGAGGGCTCACAGAGGGCTGGTGCACCAGCACCCCGCTCCCCAATGCCCAGGCCTTCTCTTGCAGTCAGATTTTTCACATGTACCTTTCAGTTTAGTTCTAGCAGATGCGGTCATCAGCACTGGAAACCAATGTCCTAATGTGATCGCAAAAGAAACAAAGCTTTGTCCACAGCTGCTTTATTTGTAAAACTCAAATCCAGACAGAGGTTCGTATTTCAAACAGCTTCAAAGTTCAGGTGGTGGTCATGCCCACGTCAGATTTCCATATACCTACATATAGATACAGACTATATATAGCATATGTATATATTGTTTCTGCTGATAGCATATTCACATATAAATGATAGAGAAGCACAGTTGGTTCTATGTACAAAAACATAAATGATGATAGAAGAGATGGAATATACTTATTTAAGCCAAGCTGTGTAGCAGAGAAACATATTGAAGTTTTGTCATGTGAGTGGCTTATGCTTTGTTTGCTTTTGGCCCCCAAGATGTTCAAAGAAACACTGATAAAATCCATGCATGCAGAGGAAAAATGTCCTTTTCATCACTGTTGCTCAATTTCTCGATTAAACATAGAGAAAAATGACTTGCTAACACGGCTTAAACTGGAGTTCTCTCTCCAGTTACTCCATGTACTCATTTTACCTCTACCAACGCAGGCAGCAGTTCAACCTGAACATCTGGCAGCCAAGACTCACATGCCTTCAGTGTCCTGAGACAGAAGGGCTGTGAAGAGCAGAGGGGCACCCAGCAAGCGGTGCTGGGGCTGCCCCGCACGCCCCCAGCCTTTGTGACCCTGACATCAAACACCGAAGTGCTGAGATGAGAGAAGTGGAGGAGACCGAACAAAGCCAATCTCCCGCTCAGCCCTTTCCTGCGAGCACAACAGCGTTCATGGTCATGGGGACCAGCCCCCGTCGTCACCCCGAGGGTCTGCGCTGGTGCCCAGCCCTCATTCATGGCCCCAGCCCAGGGGTCCCCACAATGCCCGCAGCCCCCTTCTGCACATGCTGCAGCCTGCACAGCCCTGGGTGCACAGGGACAGTTTTTAGCCGAGCTGTGAAAAGGCAGCTAACTGGAAAGAAAAAACAGAACAGCTTCAATCAAAGTCTGAGCTTCTCTTACTCCCAACTGCTCAGTTAAAAACATACTGCCTGTGCCTGTAGCATCTTGATCTTCCTCAAAAAAAACCACAAAATCATCCAGAGGCCTTGCTAGGATGTATGCATTTGCTTTAAAATGCTCTTTTCTTTTCTCCAGTGACACAATGCACAGTATTTCACACCAATAGCCATGATAGCCATTCTTTCCAGGGAGTATTGATGTCTAAGCAGCATGTGAGCTGAGGTGAACCAGTTACCACAGCTTCAAGGATCAATGGAGCACTTTGCCTCCAGTTAATAAGTCAGTAGATCCACCAATTATATCCTTGATATGTCCTGGCTTCAAAGGGAAGCTGCAGCCTAGAAGCAGAGCAGGCAATTGAAGAAAGAAGTTGTATTTGTGAAAAGGGAAAGCACCTTGATGTATCAAATACATAGGATCTTAACCCGCTTTTTATTAGTCAGCCCCATCTATAACCTGCCAAAACACACGCACAAGCACAGTTTGTCCCTTACCTCTGAAGAGTGTATGTAAAATTCTGCTTGAAGCACAAAGAGCAGCAATATACATAAATTTAATTTGGGGCTAGCTTTTGCCCTTGCTGCAAATTATTTTAGAGGTGATAAACGGATGAATGGGATAGAATAGAAGAGCTGGAAGAATATTTCAGCTGGAAAGGACCTACAACAATCATCTAGTCCAACTGCCTGACCGCTTCAGGGCTGACCAAAAGTTAAAGCATGTTGTTAAGGGCATTGTCCAAATGCCTCTTAAACACTGACAGGCATGGGGCATTGACCATCTCTCCAGGAAGGCTGTTCCAGTGTTTGACCACCCTCTCGGTAAAGAAATGCTTCCTAATATCCAGTCTAAACCTCCCCTGACGCAGCTTTGAGCCATTCCCACGTGTCCTGTCCCTGGATCCCAGGGAGAAGAGATCAGCACCTCCCTCTCCACGTCCCCTCCTCAGGAAGCTGCAGAGAGCAATGAGGTCGCCCCTCAGCCTCCTTTTCTCCAAACGAGACAAACCCATAGTCCTCAGCCGCTCCTCACAGGACATGCCTTCCAGCCCTTCACCAGCTCTGCTGCTCTCCTCTGGATGCATTCGAGTACCTTCACATCCTTCTTAAATTTTAAACACAAAGTTACATGTTATAGTTGGGGAAAATCTAACAGCTCACTGTTCCCAAAGGCAAAACCTGTTCCTCCTCCTTTGCCTCTATCTTGCTCCTGTTTCCTCCCCACCCTGCCATGTCCTTTGCTGAGCTTGCTCAACTCACAAACCCACCAGAGAAGAACTAACTTCTTCCTGGGTTCACAAGTTGCATTGGCTCCAGTGAACATGGCAGCTTACACAGAGAGATACACGACCATGTTGTCTGCAGCAGGAGGATCATCTGATCTCGGCAATTGGAGCTGATAGGTAAGTTCAGCTGCAACGTGCAAAGTTACCTTCAAACTTGTTCTCAGCAAGACTAGCAGGAAAAGCTGGTAATATTCAGTTACAAAATATATCAAACAGCAAACTGTGTATTTAGGGGATGTTAAATCATGCAAGCATCGTACAGTGCAATTTACTCACAGCAGAAAGACAACACTCTTCTGATACACATTTCACCATCGAGGCTCATTTATCATTGCTTCTCAGCCCAAGAACTAAAAGATTCTGTACTGTTATATCTAGCAGAAGGAAAGGGTTTATACCAGAAATTTAGATTCTGGGCAAAACTTTTGGCACTCCTTCCATCCCTGACTACTACTGTAAGGAAATTAATAAGCAGCACTACCTAACTAGATCATCAGAAGTGGAAATGGTTGGCTTAAAGTAGCTCAGACAATTAAGGGAATGAAAGTCAAGAACAGAGACTTTCAGTCACTTTCAGAACAGTGAAGAGCAACCCAATCCAGTCGGTGGTGAGTCATCTCCAAGCATTCATAGGCAGCCAACCAAATAGGCCTGAACAAAGTAGCCACCAGTTAGCGAACTAATGTATTTCTTTATAGAAAAGGTTAAGCTTGCTAGTGATCAACTGAAATACTATAAGACTGTTTTTTAGAAACAATTATGAGATTCCTAAATTGGGGGGGGGAGTCTTTTATCCTACATAAGAATAGCGGTACCATGTTTTAGTGGTTTTACCATGTTTTTAGCCTGTTTTAGTGTTCAACCATCTGCACAGTAAAAGTTTGTGGTTTTTTTAGTGTTCAGATGGAATTGTCTCTTGCCTTGTCACCGGGCACCACTGAGAAGAATCTAGCTCCATCTTCTTTATACCCTTCCCATGCAGGCAAGAACTTTTCATATTTATATAAGATTTATCATTATGGCATCTGGTCCTACCAGCTGAAAAAAAAGCTACTGTTTATCACAAAAGAGAAAGTAGATTACCTATATGGTTGAACAGGTTATTGTACATGGCTGACCAAAGTTGCTTTGGTGGAAGCAATTAACAGATCTCAAGGCATCCAGCTAAAACCAGGAAGATAAACTGGGCCCACACTGTCATCCAACATTTCACTGAAAGAACAGATATGGCAACACTGACAACCATATTTTACTCCATTGTGCAAGTCAATTCTGCAGGTTAAGATTTATCAAGGAGACTTAAGACAGAGGATATCATACCTCAAAAATACAACCTTTTTTTCTGAGCATGAACCCACATATTTAGATGTTATCCTTGTGTGATTTTACTAATCCATGTTTCCTCAACACAAGAATAAATTCCCATAATAATGTGCCAAATTTGTCATTTGGGTTATGTCCAAAACCCCACTCTCAAAGTTAGAGCTGACTGTGACTGCATTGGGATAGGTGGACAGGAATAAATTCTGATTTCAGCAATACTGGGAGGAGGGGGCATGAAATCTTACTACACATACACTCCGTCCAAAAATTAAATTATTTTTTCCTAACTGTGATGGCACACTTCTGAGAAGACTGCATTAAGGATACCTAAATTACTCTGATATGCCATTTATTATATTCAATTTTATTTCTACACAATTTGACACAAAACAAGTCATTTTTATAATACAGTTTGTCATGAAAACTACTTAGCAGGACACAAAAGAAGTAGCATTACTTGGAAAAATTCAGCAGTTGTCTGCCTTTCAGCACTAGCAGTTACAACAGAAGAGGTGCCATTATTGTACAATAGTGTATTTCTGTAGAGGTAAGGCATTACAGAAGAAACAAAACTCCACAGGAAAAAACCATCATGCTGTTCCTTATCAAAGCTACAAAAACAAAGCAAGCGAGGAAAACAAGTTCTGCTTTGTGGAAGGTACAACATTGACATTTGAAGTCAAGAAGAGAAAAATCTAGTATTTCATATAAGACAGTTATCAGGTAAGTTTTAAAATGAAAAATCAATTTTATGTTTAACACTATTCAGGTATCATATGATAGAAGAGAACAATACATTCTCAAAATTGGAATATGAGTTATGTCTTACCCTTATTGGTTAATATTACTTAAGTACACTACTGTGCTATTCATTCAGTAATTTACAAGTGTTAATAAAACCCATAAAATCTTTTTGTTAGGTGTGTTTTAACACTAGGAACATAAAGGCAGAATGGTTAACAGCCTGAATTCTAGAAACAAACACAGTCCCTAAAAATCAGGTCTCTAAAAATCAGGTCATTAGGTTTTTTTGTCCCTACACCACAAAGGAGCAAGTTTCAAATTCAGGGAAAAAGCTCCAAGTTTCCACTTCTCAGTTCTGAATCAGAATGAAAGACCCTTTCCTGTCTATTTTTGTCAGCCATATCTAGACAACTTTCTTTAGGCCTAAGTCTAACTAGACTCCTACAACTCACTACCTGTTCCAACACATATGCTGTGCCCTTATAAGTACTGATAAAAACAATTTGTATGGTCGTGAAAAGAGAGGGCACTGACAGAGATTAAAAATAATCAAGCAAAGAAAAATGAACAAACAGGAGGGAGAAAGTGGGTTCAGATGCAGTATCGCTTAAGAAAAACAACACAGCATGTCAAGGAGTGCCGTAAGCTGCTTTAGCACATGACAGTCTGTGTCTTCCAAACAAGCAAAAGACTAACTGAAAGCAGGATCTATTTAAGACAGTAAATATGCCATTACATAATTAACCAACAGCCAAAAGCTTTACTCATTAGTCGTACAGTTTATTTAGACAAGACAAAAGCTTGCACAGTTTTGTAACTGTATACAGAAATGAAAACATCTGAAATATATTAGTTTTTTTCCCCTTATATTTAACTTTGTACTTTGTTCTTGGAAAAGTGGCTTTTTTTTTTTTTTTTTTTAGGATTCACGTTTCAGCAGTACATATGCTCCCATTACTGCCAGGAGAGCATACTGCAAAAGAAAATGAAGACTGATTATAATTTCTCTTCATAGAAGCTCTGAAATTACAAATTGTTCAAAGTGTGCCCTCTCCAACATTACACCTTCTAGACGAGTACACAATTATAGAGTTGTGTTCCTATAGAATTACAGAAATATTTTAATGTGACCATATTCATTACAAATAGGCATCACAACTGTATACACTTAACTTATGATATTCCTATGAATTAAATGTTTTCAAATGACTACTAATACTAAGTTCTACTGGGTAACAGACAAGCTAAAATAAGCAAGAAAACATAGCTCATTTTACATTAGGTACTAAACCACAGAAACAAATTTATTAACATGTATTCTTATATGCAAGATTCTTACTATCTTTACTTGCTATTTTATAGTTTTAAATTCAAGTATGCAAAATGTCTGTATACATACCTTAAATTTTGGATAGTCATTCATTATTATAGTTACCATACCAACATAAGGCAAGAATCTGTAATTGACAAAACAGATGAATGTAAAATTAACCCTCAAATATTACATGGAAATGTTTCAATGTTACTCAGTCTTGAATATTTTAGATAATGGATTTCAGAGAAAAAAAAAATTCTGATAGACAACAAGAGCTTTAAAGACGATATGTACTTAATGAAAGTTTGGGAGCAAGATCTCTCAGATTTCCCTCTCCTCCCATGCTTCATCTTGCTGCATATTATTCATAGCATTAAAAATACACATGGATCCCAGAAATGGCAAGGAAATATCATCGTAATGAGAGGTACCCACAAAAGCCTAACATCCTACAACACAAGGGAATCTGCTTTTCAGGGTCTCCTGTTGTTCTGCAGCTATAAAAGCCATATAATCCAACACAGAAAGGGTTTCAAACTAATACGGAAAGTATTTAAAATTAGCATTTAACCTAGTCTACCAGCATTAAAGGTTTAAAGGGGCACTTCTTCTGTTTCTTTTTATTTAACTTGAAGGCAGGGACAGAATCTAAAAAAATCAAACAAATAAATATTCTTGCAGAAAAGTATTTTGTACTGCTTTGCAAGTTAACCCTATATTTATGACAACTTATGGAACTCTTAAATTAGGCAATAAAATACACAAGTATATGATGTGATACAAGAAGTCCTACTTTCCACTGGGTTTGGCCTACAACATTAATCTTAGCCTACTGGACACAGCAGAACTCGCATCAAGCTTCTCATGGCATCACTAAGACGACTCTCACAGCCCAAACAATATTTTGCCACAGGCTCTAAGCAAAAGCATTCCAAATAAGAACAGTGTAAAACAACCATTTAGACTTGTCACTAACACATATCTGAATGCAAAATATTTTTTTTTTCCTTAGACAAAAATTTAATCAAGTTATTTGAGAAAAATCTTAAAAGAGATTTCTTCTCAACTGGGGAAGGGGACAAAGTCAAAAGCTCAAACCTTGCATAAAATTCCTGTGGAATGTGGAAATAATTTCCTAGTAATTTCTAGTGATTACAAGGATAAGTTGGTTAATTTTATATCTACTGGTGAATTATTTGTTAAATGTGCCATTTTTTCAAAAAATTAATTTCCACTCTCCACATCAGTGAGAGAACTACAGAAAGCAACTTTTCCAGGTAGTTTTTTTTAATTACTATTTTATTTAAGAAATTAAAAAAAAAAAACCATACCAGCTCTAGTTTACACCAACAGCAGAACTGATTTAAACTCTAAATTTTCTGTTTTAGTTACAAAGAACATAGACATTTTGCATTACTTACCCTCTTGCTCTTCCAACAACATCTTTCTTCTCTAACCAGTTCTGACCTTCTTTGTACAAGCCTCTATCATCAACTTCATTATTATCACCTTTAGTCAGAAATTTGATGTTCCCATTTTCTCTAGAAGGCAACAAGGTGATAAACTAAATACCACTTAATTTAAAAACCTCAATTAACATCTACAAAGCACAATGAAGATGACAAGTGCTACAAGATTAGATAACAATGTTTACTTCCAGTCCTGCTTGTCCTGCTTATTTAACAAACACCATTAAATCATTAACATTACAGACTTTACTGACAGAGTCAACAGATTTTAACAAGAAATGTTTTTTAAAACACTCCTAGATTGTCAACTGATGTAAGCAATTACACAATGAACATGAAAGGGATATCGTCCAGCCAGAGCAGGCACTAAACCTCCTCAGCAAAAGCAGATGTGCCTACATGGGAAAAAAACCAACCATCCCCCTCTGCATTTTCAACAGAACAGAATTTTAACTCTGAAGTACTGAATAATACCCTACTAAGAGGGGTTTTTTTGTTTGTTTGGTGGGTGGGATTTTTTGGCTGTTTTTTGTTCGTTTGTTTTTACAAACTGTGGAATAATATCCTGTGAAGTCACCACACATTAGAGAATGAATTTAATTGAATTTGAATCACAAATTTCAGATGAGAGAGACCCTAAAAATCTTCCCTTAAGAAAGAAGGTGGTATAATAATACAATGCTTTAGACAATTTTCTTCTAAGTTCTATACACTTGTTTAACTCTTAGTAATCATATTTATGTCAAAAATAAAGCTTTGTCCTCTTTTGATAGAAAAAAATATTGAAGAGCCTCTAAAGTAGCTGCAAATCTGCATCAAATTCAGTATTTTGTCACTAACACTGCATTACAGTTTTAGGTCACTCATTAATTGTTAAACAATACAGTGAGTTCCAGGCAAAACCTCACTTACATTTGATATTTATTAAGTGGCAAATAAAAAAAATACACTTAACCAGTCTTTAAATAACATAATGCAGACAAAACATTATGTGGGGTTTTTAGGGGATTGTACGGAGAAATCCAAGCGATAGAAACGCTTCAGTAGGTGGCATTTCCCCCCCCCCACGGATGAATGCCTGCAGAGCTCAGAGAGCAAGGCTGCTCCCTCGGAGCCAGAGCTGACGTCTTGACCTCTCCTGGCCATTAAGGAGGCTCATTCCTTT